TTACTGCCTTCAGATAAAATCGCTACTCCTGACCCTGCTTTGTAAACCTCTGATACACTTTCTTTTTACTCCCACCCACCTGTTTCATCCCCTCTGCTCCCCCCTCCCCATCTCCCTTGCTTAAACATCAGTAACAGTTTCTCTTTCAGTTCTTTGACTGAGCCAGAATCAGCTTGATGGCCTTAGCTGTCCTGGAGGTGTCAGTAGGGAATCCTGCATGCCCTCCTTTCCCACTCTGCTTGTGCAGGTAGGCGCCTATATTCTTGATTCACTTCCTTCTTAGCGCTTAGCTTTATCAACTGACTTCTTTATTTTTTTTTTTGTCTTATTCTTGTGTGTGGACCAGTTTAAAAAAAAAAAAGACTGATATCAAATCAGTACAGTTACCAAATAAATCACTCTTTAAAAATCTCTTCATGTTGTAGGTGGAGATTTGGCTAAACAGTTCCAGAGGATCCAAGTTTGGTTCCCAGTACCCCTGTTAGGTGGCTCATAGCGACCTGTAACTTCAGCTCCAGGGGATTTCACACCCTCTTCTGTCCTCTGCAGTCTCACACACACACACACACGTAAATAAAAATAATAACTTCTTCATGTGTGCAGAATTACGGAGACATTTCATTGTCACATTGTTCTAGCCATCTGTACCTAAAAGCCCTCATTAGGCTATAAAGAACTAAGCCATAGAGTAATTTGGTCAGAAGTTCCCTGAGTAGTTCTCTGTATTGAACTCCGGAAAGGAGAGGGCAAGTTTTCACACTGTTAAGGTGTTTATTGTCTCTACACTATCATCGTGTTGTGGCTGATGTGGAAGCGTGCTTGTCAGGTACATTTGCTCATTGATGGAAAGACATTTGCTTTTAGTACAAGTGGAACCTCTTTGTAGGCTTAGATTTTTCACCAAATCTCTTACTTAGGGTTCTTAAAAGCTTCTACCTCCCTTCTCCCCACTGAACAGAGGTAGGGGGAAAAGAAGTGTATTAGGCAAAGGGGGTTGTGGGCCTTCTTAGAAGTAGTTCCTTGAGAAGTGTCCGCTCTTGTTGGCTGGATACCAGCAGTCCAGTCCAAAGGCCAACACCAAGCAGCAACATGAATTGGCATGATTCAGAAGATCTGCACGAGTCAGAGAAAGCCGCAAGATTCAGTTGGATCGCCCTGAGAAGTTCTCTGGAATGTTTCTCTCTGCAAAGTTGTGTCAAAGCATGAAGATCAGTGCAGCGATGTTGATCCAAAAAGCGATGTCTCACTGTCTGTGAGCTTCTATGTATCTCCTCTCCTCAGAGTCCACCCATGGATGTTCTCAGCTGACCAAAGTCACACCATTCACCTGAGAGAGCTCGCAGCAAGACATCACGTGCCCTCTCACAAGCCAGCCTCCAACAGAACATCACATGCTCCCAAGATAGCGTCCAGCAACATCACATGACTCAGCTGAGTCTTCAAAGAAACCGGAAGCTTCCACTTCACCTTGCTTTTTGTTATTGTTTTTTAATTGCTACAGGGTCTTGTTCTCTAGCCCAGGCTGGTCTGGAAATCCTTTCAACCCCAGGCTGGCCTCAAGCTTGTGTCATTTCTTTAGTCTTCCAGGTGCTGAAGTTACAGATTTATGGTGCCATGTAACGGGTATGTGTGTGCATGGGTGTGTGGGTGTCAGGACAACTTGAGGCGGTTAGTTCTGTCCTTTCACCTTATGGGTTCTAGGGATTGAATGCAAGTTTTCATACTCAGTGGCTGCTTCCTTTCACCTACTGAGCCATCTTGCCAGCCCAGTTTTAGTGACTTCTAATGAATATCTACTGAATGTAATAGCTGCTATTTCAGTGAAGGACTTGATTGCAAGCTGAAGTCAAAATCTCATTACTGTAATGAATTAGGTCACTTCTTAGGGAGAAAAGGTGTGCTTCACTCACAGTTTTTAAAGCTAGAAACCAACAGCATGGTACCACATCATGGTAAGAGAAACAAATAGTCCTTGTGTCTGTCTGCTTACAAAAGCTGGCAGGCTTCAGTCATGAAGTTGTAACTTCCCAAAACCCCATTTAGGCATACCATAGCCAAATCAGTTTCCTCTCCTTTTTTGTTTTGTTGTTTTCAAGACAGTATTTCTCTATGTAGCCTTGACTGTCCTGGATTTGCTTTGTAGACCAGGTGGACCTCCAACTCACAGAGATCCGAGTGCCTCTGCCTCCCAGAGTGCTGGGATCACAGGCGTGCACCGTACCTGCCAACTTCTTCTCCCTTAATACCATCAAGTTACTCTGGGGATTAAACTACTGCAAGAAGCTAAGTTTTGTGGCATATGCCTTTAGTCCCAGTGTTGGGTAGACAGATCTCTGTGAGCTCCAGGCCACCAGGGCTACACAGTGAGACTCTGTCTCAGAACAACAACAAAATACTGCAAGGGTTCAGGGGAACAAAACATATTCAGACCAGAGCACAAGTGTATCCAAATACCTGTTATGATGAGTTGGTATTAAAACTGGAATTCTGCAGTCCTTATAGCAATGTAAGGTTGTTTAGCAGGTACAGGTGCCTGCTGCCAAGCGTGACAACCTGGATTCACTCTCTAAGACCCAGGTGAAAGGTTCTGACGGAAGGAGAGAACTGACTGTCACAGGTTGTCCTTTGACATCCACAACCTCACCATGTACACTCACACACACAAATAAATGTAGTAAAAAATTTAAGGCAGTAGTGGTGCACACTTTTAATCCCAGCACTTAGAAGGCAGAGTCAAGCAGATCTCTTGAGTTTGAGGCCATCCTGGTCTACAGAGTGAGTTCCAGAATAGCCATAGCTACACAGAGAAACTCTTGTCTTGAAAATTAAAAAAAAAAAAAAAAACTGATAATAACAATACATTATAAAATTTATGTTTATAATTTTGCATTTGGGGGAAGGATAATAGTAAAGACCATCAACAAATTCAAATACAATCCTGTTTTTAGATTTTATCTAGGTGAAATGGAATCTATGACCATGAAATTGTCCCCAGATGGAAACAGTCTAAGTAGTTTTCATCTGGTAGGTAATGTACACTGGGATGCATTCATATAGTGGAATGAAGGGAAGTTTTTTGTTTCTTTATTTGTTTTTGATTTGGTTTGGTTTGATTTTTTAAGATAGGGTTTCTCTGTGTAGCCTAGACTGTCCTGGAACTTATTCTGTAGACCAGGCTGGACTCAAATTCAGATATATCCAATTGCCTCTACCTCCCCGGTGCTGGGACTAAAGGTATGTGCCACCATGCCCAACTATTATTTTTAAGGGATTAAGCAGGGATATTATCATACTATACATTTAGTCTGTAGTTACCTCTGGTCACAGAGGGCTGTTCTTGAGGCACCAGCCTTTCCAGAATCTGGTGCTCATTCTCCAGTGACATGAGAAGAGTGACAGACATCTCAGGACTGCTTATGTAGAAGAAGCGGGCCAGCTGTTGATCTCAGGTCACTTTCTCACCCTGGACAAGGAAGGACGGCCCTCCTAAAATAGAAAGGGGCTGGCGGGAGAAAACAGGTGCTTTGTAGCAGTGTGCCACTTTAAAGTCCGTCCTGCTCTTCACTTCTAATTGGTTAGCACTGCCGTCACCCAGGACTGCTACTATCAGTATCGATTAACTGCGCCTTCTCTGGCACAACAGAAAATGTTTTAGACTAGTAAACCATAACTGTTTTAGGAGCCAAGATTCTACTGCCAAGTTCAAATCCTGTTCTCTTGTGTACTTCTTTTGCTAAGTATGTTATACAGCTCAGAAACATTACTTATCCTCTCCTGCTACAGATGCTGCTTTTAAAAATGTGTGTTTAAGGGCTGGAGAGATGGCTCAGTGGTTAAGAGCACTGACTGTTCTTCCAGAGGACCTGAGTTCAATTCCCAGCACCCACATGGCAGCTCACAACTCTCTGTAACTCCAGTTCCAGTGGATCCAACACCCTTTCACAGACAAACTTGTATGCAAACTTGTATGCAAAACACCAGTGCACATAAAATAGAAATAGATGATTTTTTTTTTTTAAAAAAAAATGATGTATATGTAAAATTGTGTGTATATGATGCATGTGCATGGGCTGGCACGTGTGTAGTTGGAGGACAGCTAATGGAGTCCATTATTTCTTTCCACTTATACTTGGGTTCTAAGGCCCAAACTCATCAGGCTTTAGCAGCAAGCGCTGAGCCATCTCACCAGCCCTCCAGCTGCTTCTATATCTTTAAATGGGGATGATAATGGTACAGATTGTGTCGTGTTGGGTGATGAGAAGAGAGCCGGGCATCTAGTAAGAACAACCTAGTTGTCAGTTTGTTTTGTTATTGCAGAGAGTAGAGCAAGTGACCTTTTGTCATGTTTTGAGTAACTGGACTGAGCATAAGGGAGGAAAAGTAATAGGAAACTATGTACAGCAGATAGCACCATCACCCCTTGTATTTAAATCAACAGGGTAGGGAATGCGAATGTCGGAATTATCAATTAAAATTCTGGCCAAAGTAATCCTACTTACTTTGTGACCCTGGATTATATGTCAGAAATATACTTCCTCTTTTCAGATTTACGTTTTCAAAATATAAAATGATCTCAGAAACTTATAGTTTACAAGCTTAGTAGGTAGAGTAGCCACAAATGCTAATTTTACTATGAAATACTGTAAAAGATCCTTGGAGTATTGGCTGTCTGCCATTTAAATCATGAGGCAGATTACCTTTGCAGACATAGATCTTGCCATGCAATATGGGTGGCAGGGACTCAGCAGTTTAGAGAGGAATCTGAAAATTTAAAGGTAGCTCCAGTTCCATTTCCTGATAGTATCACTCTTTCAAGGGAGAGCAGATTTTGAAGTTTAGGTTTTACACGTGAATGCTGGTTCTGTCTCTGCTCATGTGCCCAGTGCACATGAATGTATTTCATTTGAAAGCACAGTCATGTAGAGGAGATAAGGGAGAATGGACATTTCATTATACTTTTCTGTTGAACAAAACTGATGTGACTATTTCTGCCCAATTAGGAGCTCTTGTCCCTGGCAAAGCGGAAGCGCAGTGACTCTGAGGAGAAGGAGCCTCCTGTGAATCAGCCTGCAGCCTCATCAGACTCAGAAACATCAGACAGTGATGATGAGGTAGGTGTGGAGGAGCTAGGCCTGTGTGTTGAAGATTACTGGCTTGGTGATGCCTGGTGATTTTGCTACCTTAAACTAAGACCTATAACTAAAGACCTGCAAGAACTTGATAGGAAAAAGAAATTATGTGAATTTGAATTATGTGCCTTACTTGGTGGTCATTCTCTCTATTGTGGAAGGGCCAAACATTAGTCACTTTTTCCTTCTCCTCCTCTTCTTTCCTCCTCCTCCTCTTCTTTTTTGTTTTTTTTTTGTTTGTTTGTTTGTTTTTTTTGTTTTTTTGAGACAGGGTTTCTCTGTGTAGCTTTGGCTGTTCTTGAACTTATGTTGTAGACCAGGTTGGCCTGGAACTCGGAGAGAGCTGTCTGCTTCTACCTCTCAAGTGCTAGGAATAAGGCATGTACCACCACTGCCTAGCCATTAGTCTTTTTTTTTTTTTTTTAAATAAAAAAAGTCATCTTTTAAATACTGTTTTCATTTTAGAAAAAAATTTAAGTCAGGCTTTGTGGTACATGCCTATAATCTCAGCATTCAGGAAGCTGAAGAAGTGGGATTAAGACTTCAAGGCTAGCTGGTTTATACAAGACCCAAGAGAAAAATAATATAGAAAAAAAATGTACGTGATGTATTTATTTTAATGGTCAATGCTTTGAGCCACAAAGCTTTCTTTGGGAAGATTGATCTGCCACCCCTCTAAATGATGGGGTTAACTTCAGAGGCTGTTAAATACCAAGCCAGACAGCTGTCATTGTCTAATCTGTGGCAACTTTCTCAAAGTCCAGTAGCAAAAGCAAAGCCCTGAAAATTGGAGTTGGGGGAGTAGACAGGTGTTCTTGATAGAAGAACTTTTCCCTTCAGTGATTTCCTGGAGAGAGAGAGATGATGCCCTTCTGTTTAGCCTCTTATTCCTTAATCCAAGCAAATGCTTTTTAGCAGTAAATTTTAAAACATTTAATAACACGAAGTTTAATTAACATCCAAACAGTATTTACCAGTTCCCAATGTTTGTAAATTAAGAATGCTTGCATTCTGATTGACTGTAGTAATATTCTCTTAGTCTTAAATAATTCAGGAGACCTAAAATTGCTTTCCACAGCAAGAGACAGTAAATGTTTATTTTTCCAATGCAGGGACTGTAATTTGCCTCAATAAAATTATGTGGTCTAATACAAAATTTGTGAGGCCTATGAACTAATTTGATTTTGAGTCTTGTTTTTTTAGTGCATTAACAATGCAGAAAAACCTTTGCTTTGGTACAGTTTCTGTTTTGAGATGGTGTCTTCCTCTATAGCCTTGGTTGGCTGGGATCTCACTATGTAGCTGAGGCTGGCCTTAAACACCCGAGCCTACTGCCCTTACTCCCAGATTCTGGGCTTAGACGCTTGTATGACCACACGTCTACCCATCCACCCGTCCTGACTGCTTCTCCTACAGAGGTGAAGTATGCCAACTGCACAGCGTTGGTGTCCACAGCTCCGTAACAGTCGTCTCAGTGATGCGTCTTTATAGTTAGGCTTGCCTTTGTTCTAGTTACATAAGCACTTCTTACCTTAGCCAAACATGGTGACCTTAACATTGCAAAGGCAGAAGGATCTTGAATTGAATGGAAACTAGCTGGGACTATATATCAAGATCCTCTCTCAGCATGCCTTTAATCCCAGCACTCGGGAGGCAGAGGCAGGTGAATCTCTGTGAGTTCGAGGCCAGTCTGGTCTACAAAACAAGTCCAGGACAGCTAAGGCTTCACAGAGAAACCCTGTCTCAAAACAAAGCAATAAACAACAACAAAAACCCAAAACAAACAAACCAAACAACCCAAGTCCTTATTCTTTACCTCAGCTATTTATGTACTTAAGGAAAAGCCTGACTGTTAGGGTGCGCCCTGTCTACCATGGAATGGAGTCTGGAGTAGCTTTTCCCTTTTGAAGGTTGTTTTATTTAAAGTTTGTTTTTAGTTGTATATCTACATGTGTGTGTGTGCACTTGGGTGCTAGTGAAGGGGCCAGAAGAGAGCATAAGATCCCCTTAAGCTGGAGTTAGAGGTGGCTATGAGCTGCCTGATGTGGGTGCTGGGAACGAGCAACAAAAGGTTCTTAACCAGTCAGCATCTCTTCAGCAGCCTATACGAATTCTCAAATCCTGCTGTTGCCCAGGCCCATAGGCCTACTGTAGCCCTATCTGCTGGGGAATAGCAGCCTCTCTGCCAACTATTCTGAAAGATCATCTTTCCACCTAGCCTAGTACAGAAGACTTGAGAGTTAGAATGGTTTTGTTGTTGTTTTTGTTTTCCGAGACAGGGTTTCTCAGCCTTGACTGTCCTGGACTGACTTTGTAAACCAGACTAGCCTTGAGCTACAGTGATTTGCCTACCTCAGTCTCCCCAAGTGCTGGGATTACTTTATGTGTGTCACCTTGCACAGCTAAGAGCAAATGTTTTACTTCTTTGGACAGTTAGGAGGTAACATAAGACTATACAGTGAAACCTTGTTTCGTTCAATCTGGCCTAGAGGACTCAGTGGTAGTACTGTGATCCAGAATTGAGGTTGCTCTAGATAGTTTAGGTTGGGTTGGGGATTCCTGAGGAATCCATGAAATTTGAGATAGGGATTATTGTCTTTTTTTTCCTCTGCTGTAATGATGTCTATCCACACATCTGTCTGGGAAAAAAACAGTACTGTGCTGTATCATTTCTGCTTTAATTTTACATCTTTGCGACTTGCAAACCAGCCTTTTAAAAAGTTTTGGTTGATGAAGTGGCCATCCTCTTCACCAACCAAACGTACACACACCAGATGCTTCCTGGAGTTTTTTCAAATATGCTCCTTTATTTTGTCTTTTAGTTTGTTTGTTCTTTGCTCATTGGAGACAGGGTCTCAGTATATGCAGCAGTCCTCCTGCCTCCATCTCCCAGGGGCTATAAGTATGAGCCACCATACCTGGATACTGTTTACGTTTGTGAGTCATTAATATTCATAAAAAGAAATGTTTTGTCAGAAAATTGATGAGGACAGTTAATTTGAAGTTTTTACAGTTTTTATTGATTCTGTGTATGAGTGAGTGTAGTATATGCGTGGGCACCTTTACCATGTGGCACATGTAGAGGTCAGAGGACAGCTTACAAGAAGAATCAGGCTTTATTTCCTCATGTGGTTTCAGGAACTAAATTCAGGTCATCAGGCTTGGTGGCAAGCACATTTAACTTGCTGAGCCACGGACCAAGAGCAGCTAATTTAAAAGATCAATGGGAGGTGGGCATGGGAGCACAAACCTGTAATCCAGCACTTGGGAGGTAGAGGCTTCTTTACCTGCATATCAGGTTGAAGGCCAGTATAGCTACATGAGACACTGTCTTGCTGGGGCTGGGTTAGAGAGTTAATGAGTAGTCACGAGGAGAAAAACACTCCGATTTTAGAGCAACATAATAGCTATCTAAATAATATGAGGAGAGGAAAAAGAGAGTCATTGTGACAGTTTCCCATTTAGAAGAAGTGTATGCCCTAGACAGTAAGTACAAGATCCAACAGGTGAAGGAATAAGTGCATCCCCCTCCCCCCAGATAGGGTTTCTCTGTGTAGCCCTAGCTATCCTGGAACTCACTCTGTAGACCAGGCTGGCTTCAAACTCACAGAGATCCACCTGCCTCTGCCTTCTGGGTGCTGGGGTCAAAAGTGTATACCACCACTGTCCAGCCCATAAGGGGATGCTTTATGTATAGTATTTTTTAAAGGGTAAACCCTAGACTTAGTAAATATATTTATTATTTGGGGTAAATGATTTTTGAGATGTACATAAAGATAAGCAAGGCCTTTTCTGTTCTCTATGGACCAAGCCTCAGAAATTACAAAGAACACTTCAGTGGCTGAAAGCCATAGTGTTGGGCAGAGGGTGTATGTAGCTCACAGTTGAGAGTACATGATTGCTGTGCTTGAGGTCCTGCCCACTGCTTAAGAGCGGTGGCGATAGCACACACCTTGAACCTCTGCACTCGGGAGGCAGAGGCAGGTGAGTCTCTGTGAGTTCAAGGACAGCCTGGTCTATAGAGTGAGTTCATGACAGCCAAGGCTACACAGTGAAACCTTGTCTCAAAAACAAACAAACAAAAGAGCACTTGCTACTTTAGCAGATCTGGATTTGATTTCCATCACCCACATGGCAGTTTGCTTAGTGTCCCTAAGTCCAATTCTAGAAGATTTGAGGCTCTCTCCTGGCATCCATGGGTATCAGGCACTCAGGTGGTGCCCATGCATACATGCAGGTGCGTATACATACCTAATGCATCATTCATACAGACATATATACACCAGTACACATAACATAAATACATCTTAAAAACATGGCAAAATGAAAAGTTTATGAATCCTACTTGTGTTGGCATAAAGTTATAAAGTTGTTTGGTTCGAATGCTGATTTCTATACCTCCCCGTATCTGGTTGCAATCCTTGTGCTGAGACTCTCCTGTCTCAATGTTGTGAAAACACTGCTCTCCATTTGTTCCCTGGTATGCCAATAAAGCAGTTTACAGCCAGTCACTGAGCAGGGGAGAGAATAGGGTTGGACTTCCTGCCAGCCAGGAGAGGAAGAGGTAGAAGAGGAAGTAGGGAATTGAGGCAAGGGTAGATGTTCAGGAGGGATCAGGAGAAGGAGCAGGAGCAAGAAAGCTACAAAGTGGAATGTATGGTGGGAGGAAGGCACATTAGCTTAGAGGGTTAAGAATAGAATTAAAACTGTTCAGTTCTTATGTTGTGATGCTTATTATTAAACAGATACAAAAGGTCTAGTTATTTGTGTGATATCTTGGTTAAGAGAGAAACTAAGAGAAACAAACAGTTTTATAAAAATAACTTAACGTACATGAGACACTTTCAGAGTCCTTTTTAGAAACAACTAGAAAAGGAAATGTGAATTCTCCCTTGTCTTAAGGACAAAAAAACCCAAAATCTTTGAATGTCCTAATTTTTTTCAAAGCTGAATATCAGCTACATTTAAATAAAGTTAAAAAA